TAATTGTATGAGCTATGTGACTTATGTGATATGTGACCGGAAGGTCTTATATATATATATATATATATATATTTGTATGAGCCATGTGACTTATGTGATATGTGTATGTTGTATGATTTGGGACCGGAAGGTCGATAGAAATTTAGCCGGAAGGCAATCAGAGTTATGGCTGGAAGGCAAACAGAGTTGAGGCCAGAAGGCAAACTATGGTAGGGCCGGAAGGTCTACCAGAGTTGTAGGACCAGAGGGTCCCGCTGAGATACATTGACCGGAAGGTCTTACATAGCTATAGCCTCGAGTGGCTAATATGTTTATGTGGTATTTTGGGAAACTCACTAAGCATGCGTGCTTACCGTGTTATGCATTATGTGTTTCAGGTACATTGTTTCAAAGGAAAGGAGCCGGCTTGGTCACAACGCATCACACTATGTTTTCCGCACGCGGGATCTTTGGGATTACACTCTGATATGGTTTTATGATACTCTTTTTGATTAATGACACTTTATTTTTTGATATGAGATATTATTATGAAAGTTTTTATATCAATCGCTTTTATGCAATAACTTAAATAAAAATGAAAATTTTGGCCTTGAATTTGGGGATGTTACAGAATGCTATGGGCCACCCCGCAGTCTTACAACACTCCCATGTTGCCACTAGCATCGCCTAATTCCTTACCTCTTATCTATCTATCCGAACAATGTTACACCCCCAAACCGGAATGACAGAAAGGTTCAAGGGTGGAGGACTTCATATGTAGTATCACAACAATTGTATCATAGTAATCAAAGCAACAACATACATAGTATTGATAATAAAGTGTTTACTAGATGTTACTATGCTCCATCTTCGCGTCTCCAGTGTGAATACCTGTGTTACTGTGTTACTAGTTCCCTGAGATTACAAGTATTTTGAAAAGTGGGTATCAACATTTAAGTTGGTGAGTTCATAAGTATTTTGTTATAGAAAGTATCTTCTTTGTTCTTTGAATAAGTTCGCGTTATCGCGTTATGAGAAGTGTGACTAAGCCAGTTCTTCCTATAATCACTTAATTTATACCTGTTACATATATTCAAGATTAGACGGACAACTGATTGTGTGATTCCATCGTAAGTCCACATCCAAACAAGGAAAAGGAAGTAAAACAAAATTCATACATTCTGCAGTCTATCAGGCTTTCATCATATATAACTCCGGTGTATAAGTTAAGGAATTATAGAAAGAACAATAAATTCATTTATGTTAAACCAATTATAACTAAGTATTGAACCTTATGTAATTACATTCCCAATTTATTTTGATAGATCACTTACCTTATACACGTTATATATAATTAAGGTCGGATGGATAATAGGTTGTGGGGTTCTACCATATGTCCACATCCAGAACACTAATGGAAAATTAAGAGTGATGTGGAAATTCTAATAAGAAAAAGAGATAATGTGGAGAAAGCGATAATATACCTAGAACAACTTGTTCAATTTCTTCTTCATGCAGAACACTCATGCAGAACACTGATGGAAAATGAAGATAGGTGTGGAAATTCTAGTAAGAAAAAGCGATAATATGGAGAGAGATTTGGGAGATATGCAGGAAATATCGATTCAAAATTAATGTGCATTTAACAAGGATTTAATGTTGTGCGAGTTTATAGGACCTGAAAGGTATATTTGGATTTAATGCACGGAAGGTTAAACCAGTGGAAGGTTATTTGTGGAAATTCACTAAGGTAGTTTAGGTGGGAAAATAAAGATTAGGGAGTGTGATCGAAGGTACTTATTTATTAGGATATGAGATTAATAATATTAAATAGAAAATCTAAATAAAAGTGTGAAATTAACAAGAAAAGCAACATGATGTTTTTTTATTAAATAGCGATCATAATATATTAGCATAGAAAAAGGCTTTAACAAGAAGTTCAATTCAAGTAAAAAAGATTTTAGAGTTGGGAATATATACCAAGAAAACCAATCTAAACATGAAACTTGACTCTAAATATAATCCAATTAAAAGCGATAATGCAAATGTCATTCGCCATGATCATATATATATATATATATATATATATATATATATATATATATATATATATATATATATATATATATATATATATATATATATATATCATTACTATCTTATAAAAGAAATCCCACTGTTTCTAAAAATAAATTGAATATAATAATATTATGTTTTTAATACGTTCAAATCATTAAACTAATAGTACAAGTAGTCATCAATAAAATAATATTAAATTTTAACCTGTGTTTTGAATCCTTATATTTCTCAATAAATTCTATCTCCTTCCTTGAATTTCGGATAATTCAAAATTTGAAACCATCAGAAAATACATGTTGATTCAAATATCCCTCCTGCAGATGACTCTTTCTTAACAAGTTTTTATTTTAATCCTTACTTATAATTGATTTCATCATTTTTAACTTTTTTTATTTTTATCTTATAAATATATTGGGTGAAGGCTTTATTGTATCAGGTTTGTTCTTAAAAAGGTTTTTACTATGTTTTTTTTAATGTGTTGGCTTTGCAGGTTCAAAGAACTCAAGCAAGAGGGCCAGTTAGAGCATTGTATTATCATTAGTTTGTATATTTTGGCATCTTACTTTTGCAATAAAGAACGGTTAAACACAAGATTTGACATGATTAAGGTAATTTGTATATTTTTCATCTTGTTTAGTCTAAAAATGAAACAGTTTTCATCATTGGTCCTTATAATATCAAGTTTCATCACATGGACTTCCTGATTACGGTGATTATTGTCCTTATTATAAGGTTCTATATAGATTTTGTACAATATTTTAACGTTTCGAGAACCTAAATCAATATGAATCCTTGAATTACATACCATCATTGAAAATGTTTTAATTTGTGACCAAACTTGGTTTAAAATCAAAATGAACAAGTTGACACTTGAGTATTTTGGCTTTCTCAACGGCCTATTTATCGACCTTTGAATCACAACACCTGATATTCTAAAGGTTTATTTGTATAAACTATTATTTATATATTTTAGCATTTTACTTAGTAAGACATTAAATTAATAAAGGAATTAAGGAAAACGAAAAAAAATAAAAATAAAAATAAAAAAGAGGTAGATAAAAAGTACAAGTTGTTTGGGTATGTATAAATGGAAGTAATAACCATTTAGGGGGTGTTTGGCAAAAAAGCTTATTGCTTATTAGTTTATTAGTTTATAAGTTAATAAGTAAGTGTATGGTAACTTATGAAAAAAATGACGTATTAGAGGTTCCCCATCGAAATAAGTTATTTTAATCCAATCACTTTTTAACTTATAGTGATGTGGAACCTAATAAGTTGTCTTAAAAAAAAGCTTACCCAAACACCCCCTTAATATGGTATGATAATGCTCTTGAAATATAGATGTCATTTAATATTCATTTCTCGAAGTGAACGCAAAAGGGTTTTAACTCTAAAGAAAACAAATTATTCGTCGTCCGCCGCTTAGCGCGGGTAGACGGCTAGTATATATATATATATATATATATGGGAAAAGTGAATATATATATATATATATATATATATATATATATATATATATATATAACAACCCGATACAAGCATAGGTGTGGAACCAAATACCAGGTCGTTTTGAGGTTGATTTGCCAATACCCTATTTTCCTACGAAATTCAGAGTACCAATTGATGTAGCTTCTCATTTGAACTTTCAAGATCTTCCTTTATTATTCTATCTTCATATTTAATCGCAATTTCATGATCATCTTCTCCTTTTCGTAATCGCAAGGTAATAATCTTCTTTATTGTTTTTCTAATTGCATATATGAAACCGAAGTCATATACACAGCATAACGCATTCAATTCTAAGCATATTTGAGTTCTTCTTTGATTATCCCTTTTGACTTTGATATATATCTTTATTCAATTATCACTTTATTTACTAACCAAATCATCAAGTAATTAAAAATCAAAGTGGCACTTGGCATCATGCTAATTAACGGGGAAACAATATTATACTCAATTAGTGGATTCCAACTAATATGCGATCAAAATTAAAAGACTACACACGATTATTTCATGCCATTATAAAATAATAGCTTGTAATTTCACTTTTAAGATGTTGAGTGAGTTCTTATAAGTACTTGTTTTCGGCAGTATGTGCAATTTATTAGTGTTATCAAGTAATTAACTTGTAATTTCTTTCTCTTTCGTTTTTTTTCTTTTAATTTGACAGGATTTCTATTGTTTCCAATCTGTCTTCTCTTTGAAAAATCATTACAGGTAATTAATGGCATTTTGTTCATCCTTTTGTTTAAATTTTAGTGCTTATCTTTTTTCTGATGAGTACTACATACTTTTGCACTTTACAAATACTTACACATGTTGGTGGAACTCCAAGTATCAGATCGACCCTCTGAAACAGGTATAACCGAAGATATTGACACTAATACCATCATGGATTTAGAAAAACAAGTAGCAGATCATTCGTTTGAAATACAAATAGATGAAGATATTGATGCAAGTGGTTATTTGGAAGCAACATCTAAATCCGAGAAAATAAATGATGATGGTGTGAATCTTAGATGTGATGAAGGTGAAAGTACTGTCCTTATAATAATGTTTGAAAAGAGAGGTTAATTTTAATATCCGGTTTAAATATACAAGTCAAACAACTGATTTCCTAGTACGAGAATCAATATGGATTATAACACAAATTGCTAGCTACAAGAATCCCAGATGTTCGACACATGACTAGTTGACAAAGATCAAACACTTAAGACTAACAATCTGAAGCAATCAGTCGATTTAGTGGGTGAAAATGTAATTAAATTAAACTTGTCAACAATCCATTTCCCATCCTTTTGTTTTGAAATGCGAATCATTGCTTTGCATCCAGTTCTTACCTCTCTACGACGTTTTATTGTCTTTCCACTTGAATTATTACCTTTCAATTGTTTGAAACCTTCTTTGTTGCATACATATATCCTCCGATAATGCTCATTTGTTGACTTGTTCTTAAATTTCCAATGTTTTCGTGTAACAAAACCATGTAAAAATGAATAATCATTGTAAAATGTATATGCATCATTGGGTGTATCGAAAACCTTTCCAGTAATACATGTATCATTATTTTCACCTTCATCACATCCAAGATTCACACCATCATCATTTATTTTCTCGGATTCAGATGTTGCTTCCAAATAACCATTTGCATCAATATCTTCATCTATTTGTGTTTCAAACGAATGATCTACTACTTGTTTTTCTAAATCCATGATGGTATTAGTGTCAATATCTTCGGTTATACCTGTTTCAGAGGGTCGATCTGATACTTGGAGTTCTACCAACATGTGTAAGTATCTGTAAAGTGCCAAAGTATGTAGTACTCGTGAGAAAAAAGATAAGCACTAAAATTTAAACAAAAGGATGAACATAATGCCATTAATTACCTGTAATGATTTTTCAAAGAGAAGACGTATTGGAAACAATAGAAATCCTGTCAAATTAAAAGAAAAAAAAACGAAAGAGAAAGAAATTACAAGTTAATTACTTGACAACACTAATCAATTGCACATACTGCCGAAAACAACTACTTATAAGAACTCACTCAACATCTTAAAAGTGAAATTACAAGCTATTGTTTTATAATGGCATGAAATAATTGTGTGTAATCTTTTAATTTTGATCGCATCTTAGTTGGATTCCATTAATTGAGTATAATATTGTTTCCCCATTGATTAGCATGATGCCACGTGCCACTTTGATTTTTAATTACTTGATGATTTGGTTAGTAAATAAAGTGATAATTGAATAAACATATATGTCGATGTCAAAAGATGTCAAAAGGGATAATCAAAAAAGAACTCAAAAATGAATGCCTTCATATAGATTTCATTATATGTAAATAATATTAAATAAGTGAGGGAGAAAATTTTAATAATGTTTAGAATTGAATGCGTTATGCTGTGTATATGACTTCGGTTTCATATATGCAATTAGAAAAACAATAAAGAAGATTATTACCTTGCGATTATGAAAAGGAGAAGATGATCATGACATTGCGATTAAATATGAAGATAGAATAATAAAGGAAGATATTGAAAGTTCAAACGAGAAGCTACGTCAATTTCAATTGGTACTCTGAATTTCGTAGGAAAATAGGCTATTGGCAAATCAAACTCAAAACGACGTGGTATTTGGTTCCACACCTAAGCTTGTATGGGGCTGTTATATATATATATATATATATATATATATATATATATATATATATATATATATATATATATATATATATATATATATATATATATATATATATATATATATATGGGAAAACTGAATATACCCTTAAGGGTATATAAGCTTGCGTACCCAAACTCACAATACTACATCGTTTTGTATTATATAATACATTCTAATTGTCTAATGTTCTTATAATATAACTTCTAACTTGATTTATTTCCATAATTTTTATAAATTACACATTTATCTTCATCTTACATAATTTTCATTTTCAACTATAATATATGTAGCCTAATATGTATTCGACAAAAAAATGTGATATAAAAGAAAAATAATAGTGAATTTCAAAAATCTTGACAGTAAATCAAGTTAGAGGTTTATGTCTAAGAATATTATAATAAATATATCAAACAAAACGACGTATTATGGTGTGTTTGGGTACTTAAGCTTATATACCCTTAAGGGTATATTCACTTTTCCCTATATATATATATATATATATATATATATATATATATATATATATATTAGGTTCATGTGAGACGGTCTAATTTTGTGAGACCTTGAGATGCATTTTTTTATTTTTTTTATTTATTTTTTTATTTTTTAAAATTTTTTTTAGTTAATTCAAGTTCCAAAAATAATATTTAAAAAAAAAGAATTTTTTGATTTTTCCATTTATTTTGCATTTTAAAATTATTTTTAGAATATGTACAGTGTAATATTCTATTTAGAATATTTCACGTATTTTTAAAAAAAAATAGATTTTTTTTCTAATTTTTTTTATTTTTCTTTAGTTAATTCAAGTTCCGAAATAATATTTAAAAAAAGAATTTTTAGATTTTTTCATTTATTTTGCATTTTAAAATTATTTTTTTAAAATATGTCAGTGTAATATTCTATTTAGAATATTTCACGTATTTTTCAAAAAAAAAAAAAAAAAAAAAAAAAAAAACGGGATTTTTTTTAATTTTTTTTAATTTATTTTTTATTTTTTTTAGTTAATTTAAGTTCCGAAAATAATATTTAAAAAAAAGAATTTTTGGATTTTTCCATTTATTTTGCATTTTAAAATTATTTTTAGATTTGGTCTCACGGTCTCAGAAAATTAGAATGGTCTCAAATGAACCTATATATATATATATATATATATATATATATATATATATATATATATATATATATATATATATATATATATATATATATATATATATATATATATATATATATACTAGCCTATTATTTCTGAAAATAGTTACGAGTAACATAAATTTAAAAAACATATTATGTTACTTTGAAACAATAACTAATATTATTTCCTGATTCATGTTTCTAGATGTCGTAATTTATTATTTTTTCAAAATTCGTTCCTTTAATAAAGGTCGCAAATTTTCAAAATCTTTTATAATTTTCTTATTTTTATGCATAAAATAGGGATATCTTCAATACCAAATTAAAGTTTTTTTTTTTAATTTTATAATATATACATTCCTAATTTATTTTGCATTTTAAATTTATTTTTTAGAATATGTCAGTGTAATATTCTATTTAGAATATTTCACGTATTTTAAAAAAAAAAAAACGGGATTTTTTTTAATTTTTTTTAATTTATTTTTTATTTGTTTTAGTTAATTCAAGTTCCGAAAATAATATTTAAAAAAATAATTTTTGGATTTTTGCATTTTAAAATTATTTTTAGATTTGGTCTCACGGTCTCATAAAATTAGAATGGTCTCAAATGAACCTGAACATATATATATATATATATATATATATATATATATATATATATATATATATATATATATATATATATATATATATAATATACTCGCCTATTATTTCTGAAAATAGTTACGAATAACATAAATTTAAAAAACATATTATGTTACTTTGAAACAATAACTAATATTATTTCCTGATTCATGTTTCTAGATGTCGTAATTTATTATTTTTTCAAAATTCGTTCCTTTAATAAAGGTCACAAATTTTCAAAATCTTTTATAATTTTCTTATTTTTATGCATAAAATAGGGATATCTTCAATACCGAATTAAAGTTTTTTTTTTAATTTTATAATATATACATTCCTAATTTATTGTTTCATTTTGAATTCAAATTATTTTCCAAATTTTATTACGATTTATCATTCCTTAATTGAAAATTTAAAAGTTTAACATCCTTAAAATATGAGATTTATATCAAGTGAAGTAAAAAAATACTAAGAAAATGACAGTCTTGACCCCATCTCCTTCAAAAATACAGCAGGTACTAAAAGCGAATAAATATTATCATTATAATTATTCATAAATTTGAATATGAAAAAGAATGCACTCATCTTCACATGATCTTAAAGGGTAAACTGAACTTTAATTAATACAATCCATCTTTTGAAATCTGAATTTATCGTACGATTTTCTTTTGGATGATCTTTAGGCTGCCCGATACCCTTACCAGCTTCCATGCAATCCATGTCACCAACAAAAATGTCATGGCACAACCTACAGTTTTTGTCCCATATATAAATTCACAATCACAAAAGCAAGTACAACAGAAGAATGTATGGTTTAAAATCATGTTACATAAAAGCTAAAGATTCAATGAAATGAATATGGTTCAAAATATAAAAAGTTAAAACAGAAGAAATAACAATGTACTTTTATTTTTGTATAGTAGATCATCCTACTTTCATTTCTTGATGCTATAACATATAACAATACAATTAAACAATGGTCTTATTTTATAATTTTGTGTTTCACATTAAGCAATCTATTAAAGAACATAAAATGACCAAAAGGCATGAAATTATAAAATTAAAAAAATACATAGATGAATTATGGGTAAAAACTTTAATTAGCATTGCATATATTGGTATAAAAAGCAAAGCATGTTGTTAAAATGTAAAATCGAAGCAGGTGATGGAGCAAAATCTTGGAACAAAAAAAAAAACTATATACCATAAATAATATGTTGAGAGTAAAAGTGTTTACCAACGGTTTCCAGTAACTCTCAATATCGTTAATGCTTTATAGTATTATTGTAAAAAATCTTCCACACACAAACTATTTTCATTTTCCGTTTATTGAAAAACACCCCATTTAAACATAAGGACTGAAGTACATACTACACAACTTTGGTTTGAACATTTCATTTACCGAATATACATACCTGGGGGGGGGGGGGGGGGGTGAAGAAACCAATGGGCTCAACACAAACTACCTACATTCAAACTAATCCAACGGTCCAACCAACTAATTGGAAAATAACCTGAATAACCATTCACTTTTTGCTCATTGAAGTTGATATTTTTCAAGCAATGTATTAGCCATTTTTTTAGCAGTGTATAGGGAAACCATGAACATTGAGATCAAGAGGTATTTCATGAATATGTTTCACACTCATTTCATTATAATTAATAGCATGCTATTAGTCGTGCATTCACACAATTGTATATATAATTAAGACCCATAATATTTTTTATGAAAAATAATTGTATTTAGGAGAGAGAGAGAGAGAGAGAGAGAGAGAGAGAAAGAGAGAGAGAGAGTGTGTGCGTGCGTGCGTGCGCTGGGGCGGGTTCTGTGGGTGTAGAAAAAGAGAAATCACAATTATAGTGTTGTACATCGTAAACCCCCACTAACTATGGGATTGTGTTTTCAATTTAATTTCCTAATAGGAGACTATAATTTGAAAAAAATACCCATAAATCCATAATAGCAATGAAAATTACTGTGTGAATGGGTGTGTGGCAAAAACAGAAATAGAAATATCATTTCTGTTCATTTTCAAATTAACTTGTTAACTTTTTATTCATAATTTTAATTGTGAGGCAAATATAAGATGGATTTTTTTCTTAAATATTCTTTTACGTTTTAGTATGCATGTTTATGCATGAAAATGACTGTTAATATTTTGCAGCGATGTGAAGACATCCATTATGTTAGAAATTGATATATTTGTTTATTTAATGTAACTTACTTGTTGCAAACAACCAAAGACTTCTCAAGAGCATCTATATTGTCTTTACCATGAGCCTGTGTATTAAATGTAGTGATAAAAATAAACTTATGTGGGTTTTAATTTGAAATATGTGGCATTTCCATCGCATTAAAAAAAGAAGAAACTATTTCAGTTATGGTTTACCACAACTACATGCAGTTGGTAAACTTGGTACAAATTACATAATAATGAAATAAAAAATTATGAAATGAGTTCCATCAACACGTAGTTTTTGAGTGTATTATTAAGAAATTTTGTACTGATAACTAAAATATACCTTATTATATTGGCAAAATGATGCAATTTTTATAAATATAATTTTGTGAAAGTATATATTAAAGGATACAATCAAACAAAGAGAAATGACCACCAGAGCATTGAAAAAGGTAACATGCTCACCACTTTCAATATGACTTTACCATTGTTAGCCTTTACGGGTAGACAAAACTTTTTTGCAAGGAGACCTGGAAAATCAAATTCACATTACAAAATTAACAAAACCAAATATGTGCTTTCTCAGAAAATTAATCTCTTATTTTGAAACTTTAAATTGATCTCTTAACTTGAAACTTGAAAGCACATCCAAACCAATTCATACTTGAAGAAAACAATACATTTTACCTCCATCTACCCCGATAATTTGAAGTTGATATTAACTACTATTGCAAAGAGATATTGTTTGTATGCATAATAAATACACATGACACCTGAATCCAGATTTCCATAAACGAATTATAGAAAAAAGTTACCTCTATGCATCTATTCAAGTATAACTCAAGGGACTCAATGTAATCTTCCAACACTAAGGTGCTGTTTTTTTTCTATAGAAAACTTCTTCAAACCACTTATTGCTGCGCGACGCAGCACACGCGCAGCACTTTCCCTCTCGCAGCAGTTTATTTTTTGACAGACTTCAGACTACAAAACATGTGCGCGTATGCTGCGTGGCGCAACACTTGACATGCCTTTTTTAACCTCTTCAGCTTTCATTTTTTCTAAGTGTTTTTTTAAGAATTTTTGTATAACTTTTTTTTTTTTTTTTTTAAAAACATTGATTTTCTTAAATTTTTATTTATGGATGTGATACAATTTATTTTTATAATTTCCACGATTTTTTTTAACTTGATTTTTTTAATTTTTTTTTACCATTTTATTAATAATATTTTCAATTTCAGTTACTTCTTTCTTTTTTAACGTATGTAATTTTTTACGAACTTTGTAGACAACGTTTGCAATAATTTCTTAATTTTTATATTATTTTCTTTTTTAATGTTTTTTAAAATTAGTTTTTTTTTAGAATAAAACTATTAGCTTCTTTTACATTTTTTAAGGTTTTTTTTTTAAAAAAAAGTTTTATATTTTTGTTTTTTTACATGTTCTTGTTATTATTATTTCAATTTTTAAGACTAGAATTATTACGTTTCAGTGTTGAGACCTATTTTCAGTTTATAAAATTAGTTTATTTAAATTTTAGTTTACTGCAACAGTCTGCAGATGTTAAAAAACAAACATGCTTCTTATTATAGGCTGCAGCTGTTTGTTCCACCTCTTTTGCTACAGAGGATTGCAGAGGTGGTCTGCAGCCTTCGTGAATTTTCGATTCGAAAAAACAAACAACACCTAAATGACGGATCAGATATCAGAAGCACTTTACCACCAAAAGCATTGGAAAATTTTCTTCTAGATCATTAAAACGTCCAACTCCACCCCTGATTTCTTGAGGAATCACTGAACGCCTGTAACGTTAAAAAAATTGGTCATAACGTTGATCAACCGTGCTTATATACCTCTACTTTAAAAGTTGTACATTTGCTAACATGTGCAATCATTTTCCTACTTCTTCCGACACATACCTTTGGTGATGAACTTTAGTTCGTTCGAAGCGTGAGCGCCATTGAACTCTCCCCTGTCATCAAAGATACGAAGTTGATTTTGACAAAATTAGTACCTGTCATGGAGCCAACGATAATGTTCTTTATGGGGAAATCGGAGTTTGTGAGGTCGTCAAGCAACGATCGTAAGAGAAGAGATTTCCCTATTCCTTTTACATCTCTCTAAAATTCAGCCACCAGAACCACCCATCACCATTGATGTTACAATCATCTTCATTGCCACGATTTACAATTTCCATCACCACCATCACGACCCACTACAACCACCGCCATTAGAAAAATTAGATATAGCGTTCCTTCACATATCATCTCTTACCGCTCACCCTTTCACACTCAATCTAAGCACATGAGAGGTAAAATTTCTTAAAGATGGATAGAAGAAAAGTGCGAGAAAAAGTTTCATGAGAGAGAAATCTTCTTAAAGAGGGAAATTATATCCTCTCCTTACCATGCCGTTCCTCTTGAAGCCCATACCACACACACTGTGGGAAAATAAGGAGTACCAGAGAAATAGTTGCAAAACGCCTTCAAGTGAAGTACAAAAAGCATTGTAGCTTGATGTGCTGTTATGCACAGTGTTTAACATTTTGACAAATGTTATGTTTTATAATTCCTGAAGTCCAATAGTGAAACACATCTTCGCTCTGTCTGAAACATCCATAAATTTTAAGCCAAATTTAAACTTTTTAAATCAACAAAAGAAACCAAAGTGTAATTGTTTACAAAACATTTTCAAATCAATATCCATCAGAGTGTCCCAAAACAGATCGTAAGGATGATGAGTGGTACGGTCATGCCTTCGCCTTCCCAAAGATCTCATGTGCGAAAAACATAGTGTGATGCGCTGCGATTGAGCCGGCTCCTTTCCTTAAAAAACGAAGTACCTGAAACCAAAACTGAAAACCATAAGCACAAAGCTTAGTGATTTCCCCCAACATACTGTCAGACATATCGGGGTGCCCGACCTACCCTTTCGATCATCTCGACCGGATACTGGCTAGCATATATGGGTGCTAGCATCCCCTTCGGTCCTCTCGACCGGATACTAGCTAGCATATCTGGGTGCTAACCTCCCCTTCGGTCCTCTCGACCGGATACTGGGGACTATTTCACCCCTCTACTACTACTACCACGTAACATGTATCGCATAATCGTATTCTATCTAATATGACTGGGTATGACTACCCCTCTTCGGCCCTATCGACCGGAAATCTTGGGGACTATCTCCCCTACTGCTACTGGCATATAACATCATATCATACTAGCACACAACATATTAGGCTGGGCATAACTACCCCTTCGACCCTATCGACCGGTACTCTGGGGACTATCTCCCCTACTGTCACTAGCACATAGCATCATATCATACTAGCACACAACATATGAGGCTGGGCATGACTACCCCTTCGGCCCTATTGACCAGTACTATGGGGACTATCTCCCCTACAGTCACTAGCACATAGCATCATATCAGGTAATAGCAAACCTAGATGAATATCACAAAGACAATCATCTAACATACAACTCCTACTGGTGGGCCGGCATTGTGGTCGTAGACCTACCGCTACTGGAAGGTAACTCACCTGCATTGCTGAAGTTCTTGCTGATACCCTTCTGACCTCTATCTAACAACTCCCGCACTACTACTCCAATGAATCCCCGATCTACTAATACCAAATATAACACTTAGTCCCAAACTGCCCTTCAACAGTCAAACTAAGTCAACTCTGGTCAAAGTCAAAGTCCTGGTCAAAGTCAACCTTCCAGGTTTACCCTACTCGCCGAGTCAACCTACTGACTTGCCGAGTTCATACGCTTAGGATCCTTTCGTTCGTGACTCGACTTGCCGAGTCATCCCTTGACTCGCTGAGTGTACCGATTTCCGAGTCCTAACCTGTCCAACTCACTGAGTCTCCACTCAACTCACTGATTCGAGTCTTAACTTGAAGGATTTGGGGTTTCGTGACTTGACTCGCCAAGTCCAAGAACAGACTCGCCGAGTCCAAGGCAATCTTCAACAGACTCGCCGAGTTGTTTATCTAACTCGTCGAGTTCATCTCCATCTTCATACTACTCGCTGAGTCCACTCGAAGGACTCGCCGAGTCTATTCAATCCTTCATACATTCAGGGGCTTTTTGAGTCATGCAGGGACTCCAACCTGTAGATCCACTCTTCCAAAGCCTATTCCTCACATAAAGTTGCAAACTTTACGTGTGGCTAAGGAGTTCTAGGCCCAAAACACATCAAAATAGGGTTCAAGGCAACCATGCTTCATTTACACTGCCAAGAGTAATACTTTATGACTCTCCATAACAAAATACACTTAGATCTGAAGTAGCAACTTCAGATCTGGGCTCTAACTCAAACTGGTTCTTAAACGTGCCATAAAAACCCCAAATCTCATGACAATAATAGATCTAGATGCAAAAGAGTGAAGGTAACAACTTATTACCTCCAAGATGAGCACAACTGAAGTAGATCTCGGATCTACACCTCTCCTTTTAAGCAAACCTCTTGATCTTCAAGTTCCTTTCAAAGGTTCCCTCCTCCAAAGTTCTTTTCTCTCAAATGATGAAAGCTCACACATTTCTAGGGACTCCAGAACTCAATAGGGAAGTAAAGAGGCTGAGGGAGGAATATGATGTTCTTTATATAAGGCACAACCCCCGGAATTAGGGTTTTCACCCTTCAGCACCAACTCGCCGAGTCCATATTCCTACTCGGCGAGTTGGTCACTTAATCCATGACCCAAACTCGCTCCGACTTGGCTAGTAAGCGATCCTACTCGTCGAGTCCATGCTCCAAATTTACACTTAGGCCCTTAAATTATACTTCTGAAATTTGAGATGTTACAAGTTTACTTACAGGCTCCGGCTGATCGTACTCTCTCCATCCTCCATCCTTTATTTTAAAACCATTTTTCAAAAAATATTTTACTTTCCAAAAATTCCCTTGATTTGATACTCGATTCACACGAGTGTTCCTCCAATTCGCTCAAACCAAGGCTCTGATACCAACTTGAAACACCCATAAATTTTCCGCCAAATTTATACTTTTTAAATCAACAAAAGAAACCAAAGTGTAAATGTTTACAAAACATTTTCAAATCAATATCCATCAGAGTGTCCCAAAACAGATCATAAGGATGAGGAGCAGTAAGGTCATGCCTTCGCCTTCCCATGCTCTCCTGAAGTTCCTGAAACAATAAACTGAAAACTGTAAGCCCGGGGGCTTAGATAGCTACCCCCAAAATACCAATACCACATTGAGATACCTTATCAACAACAGATCACTCAACAACAAGCGTACTGGGCCATTGGCCTGACTGGACCGCCCTACAGGGCCTGCAGTCTAACTGAATCTATACCAAGACTTCGGCATGACTAGACCGCCACGTGGGACTACAGTCACCCCGGACCACTCATAGGGTATGTTGGCCTTCAGCACAAAGCAGGACCGCCTCAACCCACCCATTAAGCAAATAACCATGTGCATAACTAACATATACTGACATATACAAGCATCAACATATCTACCATACTGATCATCAATCGTAGCAATCCCGCATAACTAGAGTACCTACGTAGTAGGCCACTAACATACCAATCCCTAAGGATCATAAACGCATAACATACAGTCTATCCTAAACCCGATCCATCGGATCATAATCACATATCTCATATCATAACCATTGTAACTAAGGGCCAGCCTTGGTTCGTTAGACCCTGTCGATATAGTGAGGATAACTCACCTTGTGGATGTAGACTCGGTAGATAAACTCCAACCCTCGGATCACTGGAAAAAACTCCACCACCTATTATCACAACATATTCACACCATTAGTTCCCCAACCTTTCAAGGTAACCCATAAGTCAACTAATCTCCCTTTGGTCAAAGTCAAAGTCCTTGGTAAAGGTCAACAGTCCATGTTGACCCTTACTCGCGGAGTTCCCTCGTCTACTCGCCGTGTTCTTTGAAGTACTTGCCCACTCACCGAGTCATCAAATGACTCGTTGAGTTCCCTCAGTTTATGATCCGACTCTCAGACTACTCGTCAGGTTTCTTATATGAAACTCGACAGATTCCCGTGCATTCATCTCATGGGGAAATCTCATCTGACTCGTCGAGTTGCTCTTCCAACTCGTCGAGTTTAAGGCAATCTTCATAGGACTCGCCAAGTTGTTCATCCAACTCGTCGAGTTCAATGCATGTCTTCATATGACTTGCCGAGTCCCTTCAGTCAGTTTACCATGAAGACACTTTTAAGCCATGCCAAGACCCCAAACTACATATCCGAATGCTTATCACGTAAAGTTGCAAGCTTACGTGCATGCAAGGCTCTATTGACTCAAAATGCCAAAACTAAGCTTGAAATGGGGTTTTACACTTAGGGAGGGGTTCTAACTTGCCAATGCTAGAAACTTTATAGTCTTACAACCCATAGAGAGTTTAGATCTGAAGTTACAACTTCAGATCTGAGCTCATACCCCAGAAAATAGCTCCATGACCAAACCAAGGACCCTAAACTCCATCCAAGGAGGTCTAGAATGAAATAAGATGAAGATAATGGCTTGTTACCTTCCCAAAAGATCCCAATAGGAGTAGATCTGGATTTCCCTCGAGTTCCTTGCTCCAATCCACTTGTTTCCCAAGGTCTTCACACCAAAAATCCTCTTTCAAAGCTTCAAACACACAATGGGCACACACACACGTATTAGGGTTTTGCTATGCTCTCAAGAGACTGTAAAGAGGCTGAAAGAGGCTTGTGTTTCTTTAAATAGGGTGCAGAACCCCAGGATTTAGGGTTTCGTCTTCTAGCTCCTACTCGCCGAGCCCCACTATGGACTCGTCGAGTAGGTCACTTAACACACGATCCCACCCTACTGCTACTCAACGAGTTGGGAAACCAACTCATCAAGTAGGTCTTAAACCAAGAAATCTTATTTAAAACAATACCTAAGAATCGGGGCGTTACACTGTCCACATCCTTCATTATGTTCCTCCTCTACAACCATTAGTATTTATGTTCCTCCTCTACAAGAGGACAATTCCTAACATCACCTTTGCTTCATTATGTTCCTCCTCTAGAACCATTAGTATTTATGTCGTTCCGATTTTAATATTGCGCATTTTATGATATTGTCTTTGGTAACAAAAAGATTTTATGAGACAATAATAGGTTCAATAAATAAAAAAGGAAGATATAGATGATCACAAAATAAAAAACATACCACACCCACAGTCAACAAAGATTTAGGGCTCCCTAGAAGCGAAAACTTAATAAGGTATGTTTCCAACCTCTATACTTGGGGGTCATGATATTGACTGTGCCATGCAATTTCTTGATAAATGTATTTGATTTCAATTTACTTACACACTAAGTTGTCTTTAGCTACATTTAGAAAGACCTTGTAACTATATACAATTTTGCTCTAAAGAGATAGTTTGCGGATGCAGACCCCACAAGTGTCAGAATTTTGATCAAATCTCATCAGGAAGACAACAAATAGAAGTCATAGATGATTGTCAATCTTTTTTAATTCTATTTTGAGTATAAAATTTCAAAACACGGTACATCAAATAAA